GTTCCTGATGTGGGTGGGCCTTGTCCAATCAGTTGAAGGTCTGAATAGAATGAAAAGGCTGACTCTCTCATAAGCAAGGGGGATCTCCTCCTGCCTCACTGCTTGAGCTGGTGCACTGGCCTTCTCCTGCCTTTGGCCTCAAACTGAAGTATCGGCTCTTCTTTGGTCTTGAGCCTGCTGGCTTTTGGACTGGAGCTTACACCACTGGCTCTCCTGGGTCTCCAGCTTGCCAACTGCAGTTTTTAGGACTTCTCAGCTCCATAATCATGTGAGCCAATTCCTTATAATGAATCTCATTCTCTCTCTACACATACATACATACATACGTACACACACACACACACACACACACACACACACACCTCTTATTGGTTCTGTTTCCCTGGAAAGCCCTAATACACTATCCCTGGAAATCGAGGGGCAGGCAGGGAGTTTGTACTCATTCACATGCTTGAGCACATACTCAACTCAGACATACTCAAGTATACTAATGGGCACAGAAGAATTTAGGGGGAAGAGGGAAGTGGGTGGTTAGGGCAGAATGTCCAACAGAGGGACCTGGAGGTTTTATCATGTGTCACGAATGGTGATGCAAATTTTTGGTTTTATTGCACAGCAGGAAGCAATGAACTGTGAGAAGAACAGGTGTTCATGATCTAGGTTCAAGTCTTGATTGTATAAACCAGGTCAGGTTGCTCAACCTCTCTGAGCTGCAGTGTCTTCAGGGGCAATACGGGCTGACAGTACTTCCTTCACAGGGTTACTGTGACAGTTCAACCAAACAATGCATGTGAGCTGCCTGGACTACAGCAGTCATTCCACGAAAGTCAGCGCCCCGCTACCCCATCTCCGTCATCCACGTAAGTAATTCTTTATTTACCCAGCAAAGACTTATTAAATTCCTATCATGTACCAGGCACTGTGCTCTGTGTTGGAAACACAGTAAACAAGATAGAGTCCTTGCCATATCTAGACTGCGCAGACAGAAACAAACCCAGGCATCGGTCATTTCTATGGTCTTGTTTTGAAGACAATACAACAAGGTAAAGTGGGCAGCTGGGATGGGTTCAGGGGCTACTTTAGCTATACAGTCGACCATGGCCTCTCTACAGTGTTAACCTTCACGCTGAGATGTGAGTAAGGAAGGAGAGGGAGGCAGCTGTGACCCAGGGGAGAGCCCTGGGCCGAGGGCACAGCCAGGACAAAAACAGTGAGAGGCATACCAGGAGATACTCTTGGAGATGGGGGCAGAGGCTGGTCCTGTTAGAGTTTGAGTCTAAGTGAGATGGGAAGCCGTTGGGGGGGGCAGGGCACATCTGATTTACACGCTTATCACTCGGGATGGATGACTGGTGGGAGAAAGTGAGGGGTCAGGAGACGTGGATGCAGGAGACCAGCCCACAGGCCCCAGAGGGATGATGTAGCTTGGACCGGGAGAGTAGCAGAGGAGGTGCAGAGGAGTGGTTGGATTTAAGGCATGTTTTGGTGGTAGAGTCAAAAATACGTGCTGAGGGACTGGGTGTGGGATATTAGGGAAAGTGTGGAATTCGGGGTGACTCTTTGATTTGGTGCTTAGCAACTGATGCCCATTATCATCTTCTTCCCTTCTAATCTGTGAAAACTGCAACAGAAACGTGGGTTTGCATGGACAGTTTCCAGATTAATTTTTAAGACCACTAACGGAACGTAAGTGCTGGAAGGAACCTTAGGCATGGTTAATTTAACTAGGGCCCAGTCAATTCATGGCAGAACTGGCACCTGGTTTACAGAATCCTTGCTTTGTGTTTATTCCACCTTGACATGCTCCCTTTAGCAAGGGGTCAAGTTGAGATGGCGAACCCTCAGTTAAGGCTACCAGACAGTGGTGTTTCTTAAAACAATTGCTTTATTAAATGTCAACAGATACTGTTTATACATAGTAATGTATAAGGCATAAAGAATAACAATACAAGGAAGAGTGGTGAGCCTCTCCTGTTTAAGAATCAGCAGCATTATCATTCTCTTTGCAGCCCCCAGTGCTGCTCACCGATCCCTTCTCTGACCTCTTGTCTTAGAGTTTTATTACTCCCTCACTTTTCTGTATAGTTCTACTGCACACTTGCATCCCTAAAAAATATGTTGTTTTGTTATGGACAGTTTTGAACTTTATATAAATGGAATCATATTGCGTGCCTTCTTCTGTGACATTCTTTTGCTGAACACTTTTAGAGATTCATCCACATCGTTGCTTGCAGCTATTGTTCATTCCATATTCATCCCAGAATAACATTCTATTGCGCGAACGTAACAGCTTATCCATTCCACTGTGGACAGAGTGCCGGCTGTTTGCAGACTCCCGCTTGTTCAAGAGGGCAGGTATAGAGATTCCTGTTCATGTCTGCTGGCGTACGTGCTGGGGAGCTTCTCTAGGCTGTCTGGGTAGGAATGCGATTGTCGGTTGCTTATCTTCAGCTTTACCAGGTAATGTCGCCTCATTTTCCAGAGACATCGTATCAGTTCACACTCCTGCCAGCCCCATAGAATTTCTACTGCTTCACATTCTTGCCAACATTAGAAAATGTCAGACTTAAAAAGTTTTGCCCACCTGATGGATGTGAAAAGGTACTTCATTTAGGTTTCAGTTTGCATGCCCTGGGTATTAATGAGATGGAGCATCTTTTTAAATGTTTATTGCCAGTCATACTCTTCTGATATGAAATGAAACTTATTATCTATAAAGTATATTTTGGTGGCCAGGAGGTGCCATCATCATATCTTAGGAACTCTGGGTTTTTTCCCCCAAACTTATTCTAACTGAAGCCTCCCCCTCAGGTAATGCAATGGTCCTCCCAGTGGCTAAGGCCGGACACTGGGAAGCTCTCCCTGCTCTTGCTCTTTCCATTCACATCCCACGTGATAGGAGATCCTGTTGGCTCCCCTTTCGAAATGTACCCAGAATCAGGCCACCTCCCACCACTGCTGCCCCCAGCCTGGTGCAGGCCACCAGGCTCTGAATTTCCGCAATCAGTCTGTCTGCTTTACCCTCCCCTGCAGCAGGCGTTCATGTCACCACTGTCCACATTCCCTGGTGGCTGCTAACCTCTCCCAGAGTAGAAGGCAAAGCCCTTACAATGGCCTACACCAACTCATAGGAAACATAAGGGATGTGGAAAAGAGGGTGTTGGCTAGGAAGAGGGTGGTGACTGGGCCACCCATCTGCACCATGGCTGGGGCTTACTTACACAGTCGCTAATGGGGGGTTCCCAGGGGGTGTAAGACAAAGGCAAGCACTAAGGCACAAGTACTTTCTGATAGCTTTGGATTTTCTAATGTCCCACTGTCCAAAGTGGGTTACCCAGCAGGGCCCAGATTCAAGGTCTGGAAAACCAACTCCACTTCCTGACAGGAGGAAGGACAAAGCCAGATGGCAGAGAGGCGTGTGTGTAGAGAGGGGCGAGATTGTGGCCATTTTTTAAGTCTACTACCCTGGATTAAGTGTTACAAGTACCAAAGACAGGGAAGCAACTAAGATAAATGGTGGGTAAACCTCTATAGATGACTGCATAAAAGAAAATCAAAAGTTCTAGATGGCTGGAGTGGTGGGTTAGAAAGATCAGAAATACTGCATGCATCCACTTTTGGGAATCCGTGTCTAAATGCCACACACTTTAAGATCAGCTCTGCTTGCCCTCTGATTTGGAGAGATTAACCCAGAAATTATCCAGGTCAGGTCAGCTAAGGCAGGTATTTAATCCATCTCTCAGAATGTGGGTGTCCAGAAAAGAAACAGACTCAGATACTGCTCTGCCTGTGCCTGGTTCTTCAGGGCTCTGAAATATTTTTTAAAAATAAAGTTGAACATTGAAGTTAACAAGTTGGAAGTTCCTGGTTTATTATCAGCCTATGTATATCAGAAGAGCACACGCGCAGAACGAGCCTCAGCTTCTGGAAGTTCTCCCACCGCCACCATTTTTGGGTATAATGAATCACAGACACGGCGCGTGGGGGCCTCCAGGTTCTCCAAGGACCATACAAAAAGTCTGAGTTGTGAAAAAGCTTAACTCAAAACTGTAAAAAGAAACTGGAAAATCTAAATTAATATATAATTAAATGTCTTTGAAGAACATTATACCAACCTCATTAACTGTTAAATTTAGATTCATAAAAATCTAAATGACATTGGAAAGCAATTTGTATAATAGAGCTTCACACTTTCTAAGAATTCTCAGCGATGCCAAAAAAATCACATCCAATAGCAATTTAAATGACTTCCTAAAAGCCAAATAAATCCAAAACTATAAATACTCCCTTAAATTCAACTTTATGACAAAATCAAAGATAAGCGTCATTACCGTGTTTGGTATGTCTGGCGGCGCCCCCAATGAGGTGCTGCTTGGTGTCTCAGAGGGTCACAGACCGACCAGACCCGCAAACGCCCGGCGGCCACGGCTATCTGCGTCTTCCAGGCGGCGCAGCCGAGCCCCTTATCGGACCGGTTTCCGCCCTAGTTCTGTCCTCAAGCCACGAGCCCCGACCTCGCGTGCCTGGGCGGAAGAACGCTCCCACGGAGACTCCGCGCTCCCGGGCCCCGGGAGCCAAGCACTGCGGAAGACACAGGTTGCCGCGGTCACCCCTAGTCCCGCCCCGCGGCCGCCAGCCCCGCCCACCGGCGCCTCCCGACCCTGGGCCCAGGGGATGGCCGGCGCGCTTCTCTGACGCACTTCTCTGACGCGCCGGCGCATTCCGTCTGACGTTTCAGGCCCCGCCTCCGTCCCCGCCCCCGGTCGCGCGGCGCCCGCCCTCCCTCAGCCGGAGCTGCTTCGCCAGAGGCGACTGAGGCGGCGGCTGAGGCGGCGGCCCGCGTCGGCCCGCGTCGGCGTCTTGCTCCCTACTGCAGCCACAGCTCTCCGGCCCGCTCCAGCCTCGGTCCCCGGCGCAGCCGTCCGAGCCCCTGCGGCCGGCGGGCGATGGTGCGGCTGAGCGCGCGGACGAGGGCGGCGCGGCGGCGGGTATGAAGGAGGATGGAAGGGCAGGACGAAGTGTCGGCGCGGGAACAGCACTTCCACAGCCAAGTGCGGGAGTCCACGGTGCGTGGGGACGGGGCCGCCAGTGACAGCCTGCGCCCTGGCCCCGGGTCCTTCCGCCCCCGCCCCCCGCGCCTTCCCCTCCCCGCCGCCGGGCGCCCTCGGGGTCCTCGCCCCCTTCCCGGGTCCCCGGCGCCCTCCCCTCCCCTCCTCGCCCGCCCGCCCGCCCTCGGTGGTCCCGACCCCCCTCCCCAACCACCCTCCGGGGTCCTGGCCCCACTCCCCGCCCCCGGGCGCTCTCCCTGGTCCTGGTCCCCCTCTCAGCTCCCGGGCCCCCTCCCGGGCTCCAGCCTCCGCCCCTCCGTCGTCTTCCTCTCTGGATCCCCTCTCTGCTCCCGAGCCCTGCCGCCTCCTGTTTCCTCTCACTCCCCTTCGCCCCCGCTTTCCGCCCCCCCCCCGAGGCCCAGCGGCGGCCTCCCCATTGCCACCTCCCGCCCAGGTCGCCTGCGCCGGCTCCCGCCCTGAGTCCCCACCTGGGTGCCCCATGTGGCCTCGTCGTGCCACCTGCCCTTCCCCCGGGGGATTTGCAGTGCCCACTTGCGCTACCTGACCCCTCCCGGCTTTCTCTCGTGGTCTCCGTGCTGAACCTGCCAGCCTCTCCCGTGTCCCTGCGGGAGAGGCGAGTGTTCGGTGCCCAGTTAGTTACCTTGTCCCGGTCAGCGCCTCCGGCCCTTCCCGTGCCCTCCCGCCTTCGTCTCGCTCCAGTCCCCATGTGCATTGAGTTCGAAACCTTCCTGTTTGGGGTGAGAAGACTGGTTATTTATGGGAGTGAGAACCTGAGCTAAAGTCCGTTTTGCTCTGGAAGTCACTTACGGAAGTCATCATTTTTGGCCCATGTTTCATCTGTGCTGTTGGCAGGGATCAGGAAGGACTCGACCTTGGAAAGTCTATTTTGATATTTTTACCTTTGCATGATGCACTAGAATACAGTATAACTGTGTGTTATAACAACTGTGTAAAATGGATGAATTTTATTAATAAGTATTTGTAATATTTACCCCACGCCTCTTGTAACACTTCTCTCAAGATTCAGTGACACTCTTGGTTTGACATGAAAAAATTCTGGTTTAGAATTGTATAATTGGTGTAGTTATTGATCTTTAAAATTGAGAATCATTTTGCCAAGTCATACCTTGGAATAAAGAGACAAAGTCTGAGCTAGTGGAATTTTGAGCTAGTAGAATTTGGTACAGCATATTTAGTTTTATTTTAATTGTTTTATTGAAGGTAAAATGCACAGAAGTACACATAATTATATGTACCCTTCAAAACATTTTATGATAAACATACCTGTGTACTCCTGAATCCAGTTAAGAAACAGGATTCCACTAGCATCCCAGAGGCCCATCCCATTCCCCCTTCCAGTTACTCTCCTTTCCACCAAGGGTAAATGCTGCCCTGGCTTCTAACAACATAAATAAGTTTTTGCTTAGTTTTGAACTTTATGTAAATGGAATCTTAACAGTATACACTCTTATGTGTCTAGTTTCTTATGCTCTACAATATTTGTGACTTTCTCCATATTGTATATGATTATAATTCATTCTCAGTGCTGTAGATGTGTGACTATAGCACAATTTATTTTTATTTTTCCATTTTACTGTTGATGGGCACTTCAGTAGTTTCTAGGTTTTGGCTATGAATATTTTTGTACATTTTTTTTGTGAATATATGTGTGCATTTCTGTTGGGTATAGACCTGGAAATGCAATCACTACGTTAGAGGGTGTGCATTTGTTCATCTTTAGCTCCTTTTAAACAGTTTTCCAAAGTGGTTGTACCAATTTATACTCCCACCAGCACTGAGAGTATCAGAGTTGTAGTTGCTTCCCCTCTTTACCAACACTTGGTATTTTCCATCCTTTTTAATTTTAGCCATTCTAGCAAGTACGTTATAGTATTTATTGTACAAAGGATTTTAATTTGCATTTTCCTGGTGACTAATGAATCTGAGCACCTGTCTATATGTTTATTGGCCTTTTGGAAATCTTTTGTGAAGTGTCAGATTTTTCCCCCTATTTTTAAATAAAGTTCATCTTTTTAATATTGATTTGCAAGATCTTCATGTATTCTCAATATATTTCTTTGTTATATATGTATATATATTGCAAATATTTTTTTCCCTACTCTGTGGATGCCTTTCACTCTCTTAGTGATACTTTCTGATAAACAGAAATTATTAATTTTAATATAGATAAATTTATGAAAAATCTCTCTTTTGAGTACTTTTTATATCCTGATTAAGAAACCTTTGATTATTACAAGATTATGATGTTCTTTTATGTTTTATGGAATCACTCTTCCCATTTAAATTTGTATCCATCTGGAATTTATTTTTTGTGTATGGTGTGAGGTAGGAGTCATTTTTTTCCCCACATGAATGTCCAATTGCTTCAGCACCATTTATGACTGTTGTCACAAATTAGGTAACTATATATTTGTGGTGTTTAATTTTGGACTCTGTGCTGTTTCATTGGTTTATCTTTGGTTTTATTTTTAATTAATTAGATATTCTGTAATTTATATTAAGAAAGGGACCTATGTTATAGTAGTGCAGAGCTTTATTACCTTTGTCTATACCTTAGAAACAGCCCAGTTTCGGCACTGATTATAGAGTTCCTTAATTCTGTTCCTCCTCACCCTGTTTTCCTGAACCTAGCGCCCCTGGGTGATGCACCCCTTCATCTTGAGAACCATTGCAGGCTGTGACCAAGCTCAGTGGGTGTTCCAGTCTTTGGCATTTTTTCCTCAAATTATTCATATTTAGAGTGAATATAAGTATTTGCTTTTTCTGTGGGACTTGTTGCCAATTTTAAAAATTATTCAACTCTTTTTGATTTTGCCATATAATGCTATAATTTCTGTTTAACTTTTTTGTTATGATATAGATAACACACAACTTACTGTTTTCAAATGTGCAGTTCAGTGGCATTAAGTACATTCACGTTGTTGTACAACCATCACCACTATCTCCAAAACATTTTCATCATCCCAAACTGAACCTCTATACCCATTAAACAATAACTACCCATTCCCCACTTCCTCCAGCTGCTGGTTCTGTCCCTATGAATCTGACTATTCCAAGTTCCTCATATAAGTTGAATCATGTAATATCGGTCCTTTTGTGTCTGGCTTATTTCACTTAGCATAATGCCTTCAAGGTTTGTCTATGTTGTAGCATGTGTCAGAATTTCCTCCCTTAAGGCTGAATAATATTCTATTTTTGTGTATACCATATTGTGCTTATCTATTCATCTGTCAGTGGATACTTGGGATGTTTCTACCTTTTGGCTTTTGTGACTAATGCTGCTATGACCATGTGTATACAAATATCTGTTAGAGTCCTTCCTTTTGATTATTTTGTATGTGTACCTAGAAGTGGAATTGCTAGATCGTGTGGTAATTCTATGTTTAATTTTTTGAGAAACTGTCATACCACATTCCACAGAGGCTACACCATTTTACATTCCCACTAGCAATGAGCTAGGGTTCCAGTTTCTTCACATGTTCACCATGTTGTTTTCTGTTTTTTTTCCTTAATTTAATGTTATTTAAATAGATTTAGGAGGTACAAGTGGTTTTTTGTTAGTGTGGCTGAGTTGCATAGTGAAATCTAGGCTTTTAATATACCTATCACCTGAATAGTACATTGTACCCAAAAGGTAATTTTTCATACTGGATCTCCCTCCTGCTCTCCCCATTGAGTCTCCAGTGTCCATTAAGTCACTCTGTATGACCACGCATACCCCTTACTTAGCTTCCACTTATAAGTGAGAACGTGGTATTTGGTTCTTTGTTCCTGGATTACTTCACTTAGAATAAGGGTCTCCAGTTCCATCCAAGTTGCTATAAAAGACATTATTTCATTCTTTTTGATGGCTGAGTAATATTCCACAGTGTGTGTGTGTGTGTGTGTGTGTGTGTATGTATGTATATATAAATACCACGTTTTCTTTATCCAGTCTTCGGTTGGTGGGCACTTAGGTTGGTTCAATATCTTTGCAGTTGTGAATTGTGCTGCAATAAACATACCGGTTCAGATGTCTTTTTTATAAAATGACTTTCCTATGGGTGGATCCTTAGTAGTGGGATTGCTGGATCGAATGGTAGGTCTGCTTTTAGTTCTTTGAGAAATCTCCATATTGTTTTCCATAGAGGTTGTACTAATTTACATTCCCACCAACAGTGTATAGGCATTCCCTTTTCACTGGATCTGTGCCAGCATCTATTATTTTTTGACTTTTTAATAATGATCATTCTGACAGGGGTAAGGCGGTATCTCATTGAGATTTTAATTTGCATTTCCCTAATCATCAGTGACGTTGAGCACTTTTTCATGTGTTTGTTGGCTCTATAGTCTTTTCTCACCCTTGTCATTGTCCTCCAGCCAATGACCACCAGGAACACACCTGTAGTGGACAAATTGGTTTATTGTGTGTTGCAGTGAGGGAAAATGTACACTATGAGGAGCTATGGGATATTTCAGTAAGGGAGTATTCAAAAGGAACTTTGAAAATAGGATTTGGGCTTGTGCTAAGTGATTTGGGAGGAGTTTAAGGAAGTGAGGCTTTGATCTGTGTGGGATGCTGTTAGGGTGCAGGGATAATTCTGTGATTGGGTATCTTAATAAATCTTATCTGGGAGGAATGAAGACGAATAAGGCCAAAGCTGTGACTGGTAAAGAAGCAGCAGTCATTCATATTAGCCAGGATAGAGAGATGTTGGTCATTTTTGTGATTTGGGCAATGTTCATGTTTTTTGCCTGTGTTCAGGTGTGATTACAGAGTGGTTTGGTTTAGTCTGTATGCATTGTGTTCTTAGAGAGGCCTTGTCTGATGATGTCCTCTGAAAGTGTTTATGTCCAACAGGAGAATCAGTCATCAAGGCCTACCTCTGTGCCTTGCTCTGCGCTGCCAGCCACTTTGTAGCAACACCAAGGACTAGCTGACAGTACTCGGCCAGCTCCCAGATGTTGGGGGCTGCTTTTCTTTTCCTCAGCATGGTTGTAAAATCGTTTAGTGGAATGGGGTATTAGATACAAATCCTATAGCCAACATATGTTGAAGTGATTTTGTAACATACTAATAGTTGAGCAAGAAAATATGGGATAGAGTTACAGAATTATAGAGGTTTCATTTGTATTTGACTTTGCTAAACTGGGTTATGTCAACTTCCCCTCTGTAGTGATACTGTAATGGCCCCTGAAGATAGTAATCCCACACAATCATCCCTGGAGCTTGAGGATGTGTTACTTTACATGGCAAAAGGAGCTTTGCAGATGTGTGAGTATGTTACGGGGAGAGCATCCTGGATTATCTGGGTGAGTACAATGTAATCACAAGGGTGCTTATGTGAGAGGCAGGAGGGCCAGCGTCAGAGACAAGGAGATGTGATGACAGAAGCAGAGTTGGAGTGATGCACTTTGAAGTTGGAGGAGAGGCCACAAGTCAAGGAGTGTGGGTGGCCTGTAGAAGGTAGAAAAGCCAAGAAAATGGAAATGGATTCTGCCCTAGAGTCTCCAGAAGATAACAGCCCGGCTGATACTTGATTTTAGGCCAGTGAATTTGTGTTGTTTTAAGTTACTAAGTTTGTGGTGCTTGGTTGTAGCAGCCACAGAAGGTTCGTACTCCCTCATTAGCAGGCTTTGGCTTTCACTATTCTTGTGCGTCTTACCACTCCCTAGTTCTGTTCTTGAGATTAAAGGAAACTGGGACATTCTTAATTACACTTGAGATGTTTTTCCTAACTTTCTATTTCTTTTTCTTCCTTCTTCTTTCTTCTTCTTCCTCCTCTTCCCCTTCCTCCTCCTCCTCCCCCTCTTCCTCCTCCTCCCTTTCCTTCCTTTCCTCCCTTCGTCCTTCTCCTTCTTTTTCTTGATTTTGTTGTGGGAAGAATACTTAGCGTTAGATCCACCCTTGTATCTTGCTTGACTGAAGCTTTATGCTCGTTGATTACTAACTCTCCATTTTCTTCTCTCCGCAGCCCCTGACAACCATCATTCCACTCTTTGTCAATGAACTTGGCTATTTTAGATACCTCATATAAGTGGAGTTATGCAGTATTTGTCTTTCTGTGACTGTCTTATTTTACTTAGCTTAATATCCTCAAGATTCATCCACATGGTCACATATTGCAGGCTTTCCTTCTTTTTAAAAGCTGAATACTGTTTCATTGTATGTATATACCACACTTTCTTCATCCATCTGTGATGCACATTTAGGTTGTTTCTATATCTTGGCTATTGTGCTACAGTGGATATACGAGTGCTGATATCTCTTTGAGATTGTGATTATGATTCTTTAGGATAAGTACCATGAAGTGGGATTGCTGGATTATATGGTAGTTCTGTTTTTAAATTTTTGAGAAACCTATATACTGTTTTCCATAGGAACTACATCATTTTGCTTTCTCAACAGTGCACACGGGTTCCAGTTTCTCCACATTCTCGTTGACACTACTTGTCTTTTGTTTTGTTTTGTTTTTGATAATAGCCATCCTAACAGGTGCAAGGTGATATCTCATTGTGATTTTGATTTAAATTGACCTGGTGATTAGTGACGTTGAACATTTTTTCACGCACATGGTGGCTGTTTGTATGTCTTCCTTGGAGAAATGTCTATCCAAGTCCTTAGCCTGTTTTTTAAAAAATTTTTTTGTAAAGATAGGGTCTCGCTGTGCTGCCTAGCCTGTTCTCAAATTCCTGGCCTCAAGTGATCCTCCTACCTCAGCCTCCCGAAGTGTTGGGATCACAGGCTCTTAGCCCATTTTTTAAATTGTGTTATTAGTTGTTTTTACTTTGAGTTATAGGAGTTTCTTATATATTTTGATATTAACCTCTTATCAGATACATGGGTTGTTGATATTTTATCCTATTCCCCTCACTCTGTTGATTGTCCACTTTGCTGTGCAGAAGAGTTTTAGTTTTATGTAGTCCCACTTATTTATTTTGGTATTTATTGCCTGTGCTTTCGGTATTAACTTATGAAATCATTGCCAATACCAATGTCATGAAGGTTTTCCCCTATGTATTCCTCTAGGAGTTTTATAGTTTCAGGTCTTATGTTTAAGTCTTTAATCCCTTGTGAGTTGATTTTTGTGTACGGTATAAGAAAAGGGTCCAGCTTCATCCTTTTGCATGTGAATATCCAGTTCCCTAGCACCATTTATGGAAGACATTATTCTTTCTGCATTGTATATTCTTTGCTGTCTTAAGATCAGTTGACTGTATATGAGTGGATTTATTTCTTGGCTCTCTATTCTGTTCCAGTATAAGTCTGTCTTTATGCCAGTACCATCCTATTTATTTTATTATTATTATTTTTGAGACAGAGTCTAACTCTGTCGCCCTGGGTAGAGTGCAGTGGCATCATCATAGCTCACTGCAACCTCCAACGCCTGGGCTCAAATGATCCTCCTGCCTCATCCTCCTGAGTGGCTGGGTCTACAGGTACACTCTGTGATGCCCAGCTAATTTTTCTGTTTTTAGTAGATACAGCTCAGGCTGGTCCCAAATTCCTGAGCTCAAGCAAGCCTGCCGCCTTGGCCTCCCAGAGTGATAGGATTATAGGCATGAGCCACCGTGGACAGCCAGTACCATACTATTTTGTTTATTGTAGGTTTGTAATAAGTTTTGAAATCAGGAAGTGTGATGTCTCCAGCTTCATTCTTCTTTTTTGAGATTGATTTGGCTATTCATGATCTTTTGTTATTCCATATGAACTTTAGAATGTTTTTTCTTTTTCTTTCTTTCTTTTTTTATTTTGAGACAGGGTCTTCCTCTGTCACTCAGGCTGGAGTGCAGTGGTCCCATCGTAGCCCACTGCAGCCTTGAATTCCTGGCCTCAAGTGATCCTCCTGCCTCAGCCTCCCAAGTAGCTAGGACTACAGGTATGCATCACCATGACCTGCTAATTTTTTTATGTTTTGTAGAGACAGTATCTCACTATGTTGCCCAGGCTGGTCTTGAACTCCTATGCTCAAGCAATTCTCCTGCCTTAAGCAATCCTCCTACCTGGTCTCCCAAAGTGCTGAGATTACAGATGTGATCTGGCCTGTTTTTTCTATTTCTGTAAAAAAAAAAAAAAAAGCTATTGGAATTTTGATAGAGAGTACATTGAATCTATCAATTGCTTTGGGTAGTATAGACATTTTAACAGTATTAACTCTTCCAGTCCATGCACATGTCTTTCCATTTGTGCCTTCTTTAATTTCTTTCATCAATGTTTTGTGGTTTTTATTTTTTAAATTTGTTTTTACCTAAACCTTTTATTTTTTCCACTTGCAAATTCTTGTTCCATTCTACCTTTTGTTGTAGTTTTTAGTGTACAAATTTTTTACCTCCTTAAATTTATTCCTAAATATTTTATTCTTTTTTGGTGATATTATAAATGTGATTGTCTTTACTAGTTTCCTTTTCAGAGAGTTGGTTAGTATATAAAAATGCAACTGATTTTTATATATTAATTTTCTTTTCACTTCAGATGGGTAATGTGCTGATGTCATAACAAGGTTTGAGGGAGGAAACTCTCACACATACCTGTGAAAATTCAGTCATCACGCTTACGAACTATGAAAGGATTGTGTATGATTTTCTATCCTGCAACTTTACTGAATGTGTTTATTCTGACGGTTTTTAAGGAAATGGAGTCTTGGAGGTTTTTTATATCTGAGATCATGTCATCTGCAGATAGAAGCAGTTTTATTCCTTCCTTTCTGATTTGAATGCCTTTCATTTATTTTTCTTGCCTAACTGCTTTGGCTAGGAATTCCAGTACTATGTTGAATAGAAGTGCTGAGAGTGGATATCCCTCCCTTGTGCCTGATCTTAGTGGGAAAGCTTTCATTTTTTTACCAGTAAGTAAGGATGATGAAAATATGTGGGCTTTTCATATATGGCCTATATTATGTTGAGATAATTTCCTTTTATTTGTAGTTTGCTGAGTGTTTTTATCATGAAAGGATGCTTAATTTTTCCCATGCTTTTTATGCCTCTGTTGAGATGATCATGTGATTTTTATCTTTTGTTCTGTTAATGTGGTGTACCACAGTAATTGATTTTCATATGTAGAATCGTTGTTACATCCTAGGGATAAATTCCACTTAGTCATGGTTTATGATTCTTTTAATCTGCCGTTGGATTCAGTTTGCTAGTATTTTGTTGAGAATTTTTGCATCTATATTCGTTGGGGGATATTGGCCTGTGGTTTTCTTTTCTTGTGGTATCTTTGTATGGCTTTGATATCAGTGAAATGCTGGCTTTATAAAATGTGTTTCCGTTTTTTGAAAGAATTTGAGAGGGATTGGTGCTAATTGTTCTTTAAATGTTTGGTAGCATTCATCAATGAAACCATCTGGTCCTGGGCTTTTTTGGGAGATTTTTGATTACTGATTCAATCTGCGTACTTCTTTTTTATTCTTATAATTTTGTTTTTTCTTAAGAGACAGGATCTCACTCTGTCACCCAGGCTGGAATACAGTGGTGTAATCATAGTTCAGTGCAGTCTTGAACTCCTGGGCTTTGGCGATCCTCTTGCCTCAGCCTCCTGAGTAGCTAGGACTATAGGCATGTGCTGCCATGCCTGGCTAATTTTTAAATTTCTTATAGAGACTGGGTCATGCTGTGTTACCCAGGCTGGTCTCGAACTCCTGGCCAGAAGCGATCCTCCTACCTCAGCCTCCCAAAGTGCTGGGATTAGAGGGTTGAGCTACTTCTCCTGGCCGGCATACTTCTAATAGATTTTTTCAGACTTCCCATTTCTTTGTGATTTAATCTTGATGGGTTGTTATGTTTTTATAAATTTATCCATTTCTTCTAGATTATCCAGTTTGTTGTCATATAATTGTTCATAGTAGTTTCATGATCCTTTTTGTTTCTGGGGCATCAGTTGCAATGTCTCCTCTTTCATTTCTAATCTTATTTGAGTCTTCTCACTTTTTTTTCTTAGTCTAGCTAAGGGCTTGTCAGTTTTATCTTTAAAAAAAAACTTTTAGTTGATTTTTTTTCTTTTTCTTTTTGTTTTTAGAGATGGGGTCTTGCTCTGTTACCCAGGCTGAAGTTCAGTGACATGATCATAGCTCACTATAGCCTGGGCTCAAGCAATCCTCCGACCTCAGCCTCCCGAGTAGCTGGGTTGACAGGTGTGCACCACATGCCTGGTAACTTGAAAAAATATATTTTTTTCTTTTTAGATACAGAAGTCTTGCTATGTTGCCCAGGCTAATCTCAAACCTCTATGCTCAAGCAATCCTCCTGCCTTAGTCTCCTGAGTAGCTGGGACTATAGGCATGAGCCACCATGCCCACATATCATTTCCTTCCTTCTGCTAGCTTTGGGCTTAGTTTGTTCCTCTTTTTCTAGTTCCTTAGCTGTAAAGTTAGGTTGTTTATTTGGGATCTTTCTTATTTTTTAATGTAAGTATTTATTGTTACGAACTTCCCTCTTAGTACTGCCTTTGTTGTATCCCATAAATTTTGGTATATTGTGTTTTTATTTTTGTTTGTCTTGAGGTATTTTCTAATTTATATTTTATTTCCTTTTCTACCCAATGGGGTTGTTCAAGTGTGTCTTGTCTGTTTTCTACATATTTGTAAATTTTTCAGTTTTCTTTCTGCTGTTGATTTTTAGTTACATTCCTTTGTGGTCAGAAAATATACTTGGTATGACTTTATTCTTCTTAAATTTGCTAAGATTTATTTTGTGACCTAACATGTGATCTGTCCTGGAGAAAAACAGATTTATGTTTGCTTGAGAAGAATGTGAATTTTCAGAACCAATCTTACAGTCTCAAGATCCAGGAAGAGGTGATGATTTAGTTTGAGTTTGAAGGTGGGATAAAAATGATGTCTCAGCTTGAAGGCAATGAGGCAGAAGGAATTCTGTTACTGAGTCTTTTTGTTCTATTCAGGCCTTCCACTGATTAGATGAGGCCCACCCACGTTAGGGAGGGTAATCTGCTATACTCAGTCTGCCAGTTCAAGTGTTAATCTCATCCAGAAATACCCTCACAGACATACCCAGAATAATGTTTGACCAAATATTCATGCACCCCGTAGTTTAGTCAAACTGACACGTAAAATTAACCATCACACTCTACCTCATCTAAGGGTTTAGGATTGAATTATTTTGGAAGGAAGCAGGAGAGGAGAGCAGGGAAGAACAAAACACCTGTTGTGATTTTTGGTAGTACTGCATCGAATCTATAAGTCAATTTTGGTGGAATTGATGTCTTTATGATACTGAGTCTTTCAGTTCATGAGCATGGCAATATGGGCTTCATTTTGCATTTTCATGATAGGTAATGAAGCTGTGCACGTTTTCAAATGTCAGTTAGCCATTTGGATATCTCCTTTTTTGAAGTTGCTTAAGTCTTCTGTTCATTTTTCTATTGGCTTATCTCTTTAAAAGTTAATTGATAGGAGTTCTTCATAGTATTTTGATGCAAGTTCCTTTTCATCTACAGTATGTTGCACATGTCTTTTGCCATTCTATGGTTTGTTCGTTCATTTTTTAAATAATATCTTTTGA